ATATGTTTCTGCAACTAAAATATTGGAAGAGATCAAAATCTATCACATTAGGGGGATAGTAAAAATGTCTCTCCCCCCACAAAAAATAATTGTCCCTATTTTTCAAATCGCGGCGATCCTATTGAAGATCAAGATGATGACTTAGCTGTCCGAATAGTAGTGTGTGATAAGATGTCACATACCAGTATAATGAAATAGGAATATAAAAGCGTCTTAAATGACAGATAATAGTTCACTTAGCTGTTTGGAGAATAGAACTTCGTACATATCATCAGAATTACAATTTATAAATAATCGAAAGGGTATAAAAGCTTTAAAGTGAAGAGAGAGAACAGTGACGTTTGCATTATTTCGATTAAGTAAACGAAAATCAAGGTCCGTCTTCTATGCCTATTATTGTAATGAATTCTATTTCAGACCGTCGACATATGCATCTTTCCTGTTTAAGAGTGAAAGATATGTTCCTCTTGCATTGTTGTCCCGAAGCTGTTTAAAGGCAATTCATGGCTGGAGCGACCTAGAGTAAGCAGAATGCGAAGACAGATGAGAAAGGCACAGATATCAGATAATATGAGCATCGCGAATACTGCCCGCCAGCCATATGGTACGAGCATACCTGCCAGAAGAGGACCGAAGGCAGCACCTTTAACCATTAGAAGACAGGGTTAATAAAAGTAATTAATCCGCAAAATAGAAAGCCTATCAAACCAAAAATAATGAACGAGCTAGAATGCATGACTTGGTAGACATTTGGAAAAATAACAGTAAACTAAGTTATTTTTAAATCTCAAATTCGATAAGAAATGCACCGAGTTGAATGCATACATGCAGAAAGTCTTTGATTAGTTTTTAGAGTAATTAGGTCATTAACTAATTATAGCTTATTTAAAGCAAGAAGTAGGCTATCACAATATATTTTTCGTATGCAAGTAGAGTTTCGAGACTACCAGTAAATCAGTAATATGAGATGTATTCATCATCAATATCGACGACTTATAGCCAACCTTATATGTTCTCCGACGTATCACATTCTCCTTTATCTATAATGCTACTAAGTCTCCGACGTTCCTAAGCCTTTATCTCCTGTGTGTCGAATCCCAAATCTAATGGATGTTTAACTTACTTTGATTAAGCTTCTTTTGGTTTTTGATTTTTCGTCTCTGGTCTCCTAATGATTACTTTTCCTAAAAATATTTTCTTGATCTAATCGTCTAATTTTTGCTGATCTTTCTGTTCCCTGATATTCTCTTAGTTTGCTTGGATAGTATGCAAAGTTTTTTCACCGATCATGCCTTTTTCAAGTTTCCTGTTCGTTAGATTTTTTTAGTTAGGATATCGATGGCCGGTTGTAACTTGAACTTTCCTGTATTTTGACCATATGTTGCCAATCTTTCTGTCGATTTCCACTCGATGTTGTGTCTTGTTCGTGCAATGTGTTACGCTATTTCGGATCTTTCCGTAGACATGTTTCTGCAAAGTCTTTGGGGTTCCTTGATTCGTAGGCTGATTTTTCTACATGTTTCACCTATATGTTTCTGATCGCATTTGCTGCATTTTATGCGATAAACTCCCTAATAATTCAATTTGTCAATCTTCTTGTGTCGTGTCGGCAGACTACTGAAGTGCTGCCTTTTCCTTAGTTAGCGCCTTGAAATTCCATTCTCCTAGTAACAATCGTCATTTTTGGCTCAGTTCACAGGAGGACAGACATGTTTTCTTTTAATCATCCTATCGATTCCTGTTTTTATTTACATAATATCCAAGTTGATATCTGTTCCTTATGACCTCTATATTTCTCTCTGAATTCTCTAAAGAAAATCTGAGTTAATTTGTTCAACTCTTTGATCTAGAACCCCATGTCTGTTAGCCTTAAGCAGCTGATGAGCAAGCTCCTCAATATTCTTATCTTTAGTCTGTAGTTGTAATGAGACTGGAAAATGAGTGTAATTCCGGCATATGATTTCTTTCTGAATATTTTCCTCGTGAGTACCCCATTTAAGTGCAAGATCTCAACATTCAGGAAGAGAAAACATTTATCCTTCTTGACCTCAATCGTAAATTTGATTCTTCCATCAAGTAGGTTCACAAAACTGAGGGGCAGATTCAAATTTTACTTGCCATGCGACCAAAGTGCAAAGCAGTCATCCAGGTATCGCATAAGCACTCTTGGTTGCAGCGGTGGCTTCTCGAATTCTTTCAACAATTTGTTCATGTATGCAGTTACCAAAAGAAATGAGAATGGAGATTCAAACGGTAGTCTAGATAATTACCCATAGATATTGCGATTGAATGCAAAGCATGTGGTACTTACAATCAGATTTATCAGTCGTGTTAACGATTCCTTCCGCATCCGCTCCGCTTGCAGGATATTCTACTCTCGTTCTACGATATCCAGTAGGGCGATGAATGCCTTCTCGCCTGAGATGTGTACATGGATTACACGTAAAAAATTACTAACATTGCCGTCCATGCCATTCCAATGTATTGGATCCTTTGAGAAAATTCATATGAATTTTTCATTGTATTCAAGAGTCTTAGTTTGCTTTCTTAAGCTCCAAGCCTATAAATTTCGCTAGTTTGTGTGTTGGTCTATGCCTGTTGTTGGCACTTAATCCTAATGGGTTTCCTTCCATGTGCATCTTCGGTAGTTCGCAAGCTGTCGGTTGTCTAGCGACCTTTTTAATTAAAGAGTTCATCATCTATTTTTTGTTTTCTCCGTTAGGCATTTCCTTCCGTTTCCCGTTGATCTTTATGAGTGGATCCTTCCTTAGTATTTGATAAGTATTCTGGTCGTCGAGGGTACTATCTCTTTTCTCAGGGTGCTGTCGCTCCTCTCTTATCCGCATAAAGAACTAGTTGTTCATTCATTTGTAATTTTATGCGTATCCAAATCAATACATTCCATTTTAGTGGATCTTGATTTGCCAGGATTATCGGGATTAATTCTATTTTCATTTCCCGTTTGGTCTCTTCTGGGTGTTTCTCCGTAATATTAACAACATCTAGAAGAACATTTAATAAAATATTCCCTTCGTTACCTAGTGAAAATTTAACCTTTTCTTCAGGATATCCACGGTTTCAAAATCAAGAGGAATCAGGGTAAGTTCACTACCTTGTCCCCATTGTCCTTGGGGGGAATTGATACCGCCACTGCCAGAACATCATGCTTTTATAGGGCTGGATGAATCCTGCATTGCCTTATTATTCTAAATATAAGCAAATTCTTGTTACGCCTCATATTAATAAAATCCCGGATCCTCTGTAATTTCTGATCAGTCATACTATGAAATCTTTGAAGATCGTTGAAAATGAGAACCATGACTAAATCTAAGTCTAGACTAAATATCTATAAACTTAGGTAGCTTATGATCTCTCAGTCTCGTAACTATCCTCTAATTTCTGAATGGAGGCGTGACAAAATATTTGATTAACTATTTTTTCATATATAAGCAGAGTTTCGAGATAACCAGTAAATTAGTTATATGAGACGTATTCACCCTATTTCGTTTAAGTTGATAAGGGATAGGTAGTAGAATTTTCCCACAATGATATGAGTAGAGTTGACGTTTCTATTGAAATTCACATATTTTTGCTTTCCCCAAAGTTGTTCTCATCCAGAATGGACTGCAGCTTCGACCTCGCCTAGGTCTCTACTCATATCACAGTGGGAAAATTCTACTACTAGTCCTCCATCACCTCATCATCTCATATTTCATTAACTATGTCTGAATAACACTTCCTCATTAGGTTTTAGAATCCGGGAGCGAAACCATAATATTTGCAACAATTCAAAAAGGTCAAATAACATGAGTGATCACGAGCTTTATTTGATGCACAATCTGCAGAGTGATAAGGGAATCTGCAGCGTCAGGTTAGGTTTCCATGTTACTTGTGAATCCAGACTTGAGGAGCTTGCTCAGTGAGTCTAAAGAATACGCTCTATCTAGAGCTTGAGGCAGTGTAGAATACAATGCCTCGAGTAGTATGTATATGATGATAGCGATTGAGTGAACTCACAGAACCAGGCAGATAAGAGGCGGATCCTACGTAGCAAGAGGGAGACCCTGATAGAACCTACATGATGGGAATTGTGAACTAAACGGAAGTTCCACTGTGGGAACTAGTAAGGAGTGTAACTAGGTCTTAGTAAATCCGGTCAAAAGGGCACACCTCAACTAAGCTTAGATGAGCAAGAAAAAAATGGTAATGATAAAGGGGTGTTACGAGGATATACGATAGGTGAATGCAGTGGGAAAGAGGGAGAGATACCACAACTGGTTAGTAGACAATTGGTCAAAGGATTGACTTATGAGTTGTGATATGGTGCAAAGAATGGCAAGGCTCATTGACGACGAAGGCGAAACGTCTCGGAATGAACCAAGTTCGTCGTCCAACTCTGGAAATTATCCTGCATATTATGAACTCCAGACAAGGTGCTTTCCTGTAGGTCTTCCTGTGAAAATGACCAAGTTACGATAACAAGATCAAATGACTTCCATACAACTAAAAGGGAGCGCGACCATATAATAAAGAATATGAATACAATTTGGTATAAATCTATATAAACCCTTTACTCATTGTCTTAGTGATGCATAAAGCAATGTATCCTAGAATAAATGGATACACTTTTCAGGCCAATTGTAAACTATATTGTATAAAGTGTCTCATGACCTTTACGATTAGTGACAGATGTAAAATTTCAAATACTCCTAAATACCTGACGAAGTCTAAAATGTAGATGACAAAACACGACCCAGAAAAAATATGACTTCAAGCAGTGGTGATACCATAAACGTAGGGATTATTATTTGTATAGTTTGTCTTAACTAAAAGTTGTATGACCTCGTTTTCACAATTTTATTATGTTATCAGGGGACCTAGTTGGACGTACCTCGTCCGGAGTTACGACAATTCCCAGCGTTCGACAGTGAACTTTGTATATGCCCTGACGCCTTTGTCCTCATACCTACTTTAATTAAGTTCCACTTTTGGTAACTTTAGTTTAAGCACGATAGTGTGTGGACATGGTCTACTCGTTTATACAACTTGGTCTTACTGTCTGGAAGATATGGATGAACATACTTTATAGTTCTTTCAGTTGGGATGCCAATTTAAGTGATGAAGATACGTTTTGGAATGAACCTGATTATCTAAAGGAGGAAAAGGGACATGATAGTGCCAGAGTAAATAGAAAAAAATATTTTCATTGAAATTGTCTAGTTAAGTAGGTTTTGAAAATAAGAGATTAAGCTAAGACTATGTTCTATATTGATTAGATTTCCGCTCTACCTAGCATATATTAGCCAATAGATGCAATCTTTATTGAATCAAACAAACCCAATGAACCAGTTCCGTCGATTATGGCCGTTACAGTGGCTAAAGCTCGTGTGCGCCCTGATAAACCGGATTGAGTACCCAAGTCGATGGAGACTGCCGTAGTGATGAGGGCATAAGGTCCATTTACCAGTGCGCCACAGGTCAATAGGAGAACTATAAAAAAATATTTAATTAACTAAATAATTTACAAATTATAAAAGTAGAGTAGCAATGTTAATAAGCTCTCCAAAAGAAGAGGATAACTTTTAAGTGCCAGGGTTTATGTGCAAACAATCCTAGGTAATAAAATAAGTCTTCGAGATTTAGTATTAACGTG